TAATTTTTTATTGCAAGTACACTGAATTTAAATGACTTGATAGACCAATGATATTTTTTTTGAAGTAATAAATACACAACGTGGTATGATTCACTATCAATCTTTTATTTAGAATCTAGACATCAAACATCTAGATATTTTGCTAAAATAAGTAAATTCTTTATTGCCAATATTCTCATTGAAATGAACAATTATTTCATACTCAAATATTTATTTATATTATTTTATAGACTAAAGAAGAATCCCTAGCTTATCACATTCTTTAATTATATATCAAAGATGACATGAAAAAAAAAAGGTGAAAAGAACATGAAACAACTTATGACATATGAATATGAACTTTTTTTAAATATGATTAATAATTTTACTTATAAACAATAAATAATTATTTTGGATAAACGTTTATAAACAATAAATAATTATTTTGGATAAAAGTTTATAAATAAAAATGAATACTTTGAATAATTTTTCATTATTATTGCAAAATAAATTTTAGGAAACTTTTAAAATAGGATGATGTTTATTATTTATTATCTGTAAATTATCCATCCATGAAAAAATAAAGTGCCTAAATAACTGCTTTAATCTCTAGCAGGTCTAGTGCTGTTCACATTGTAATCAACTCACCCCCCCCCCATACCTTAAACATTTTCAGTTGGTGATTCATACAACGGTGCATTAATTTTGCTTGTTATGTGGTTTGTGTTGTTGTATTTGTTCAATTCTGCGTTATCACTGGCTGATCTTTGTTTAGTCCAGATGTCTCTTAATCACATTATTTCCCGTGCCATCACTTTCACTTTTTAAGACAACGCTTATATCCAATCTGCTCGCCTTGAATGTTTTATATCATACTCTTTCTCGGTCGTTTATCGTTGTATTTGGTGATAAGGATTTTGTTGTTTTCATATTATGGTAATTTAAAGGTTTGAGCAAATCCTATTGTGTTCTTGTTATTTAGTAATACAAATTTTTTCGGCGGTATTATGTTGTTATTAGATTTATTCCGACAGTTGTGATTAATTAATTTATAAACAAATTCGTTTCCAAATTTCTTTTCATAAGCGTCTTTCGCCATTTTCCACTTAACCGTTTTGTTTAGGATATACTGACGTTAGCGTGTGTTTTATATTGTGGTCAACACAAAACTTTTAAAAACACTTGGTATGTACCGTTGGCGGTCACAAATAATATTCATAAAAACCCCGATTTGGGTAGATTCTTCAAAACGGCCCTATTAAGATTTTTGCTAAAATAATATGATGTAATCATCTAGATTTCGCAAATGTCTAAGCATTTCTACCAGCTATGTGCCAAATCTTTAGGTATACATAATGTTATTTTGGTTATAGTCTTAACCGGGACGTTTTTTAAAATCATTCTGAATCGGGCTTTTTAACAACACTAATCACAATCTGTTTGGTTATACCACTAATCTTAAACATTTTTGTTATTTTAGCGGTTATTGATTCCACCGGCTTTATAATAGAAACTATACTATTATGTCGACTATTAACAACCAGTTTTTTTTATAAGAACGACCCTGGGTAATCAATGTTAACTCTCTCGAGTGGTTCTGAGGTCGTTATCCACAGATGTTATAAGTTCTTGCGATAGTGAGCCCATGTGTTGCATGATTAACAATTTTTAAATTCCTGGTAAATATTGGTATTGATGCTAGGTAGGCAAATATATTCTCTGGCAAGCTATTTTGTCTTTTCCACATCTCAATGCCGTGAATGCAACTCTTGCAACATTTAGATTATATGATCATTCTAGATTTATTATAAAGGTAATTTTTCATGATGCATTATTTATATTCCATGTATTTGTACTTTTTATTTTTGTATCGTGTTACCGTTATTTGTCATTTTCAACATCTGCAACATCACTAATTTTTGTAATTTTCGATATCTATTGATATATCCCATAAAGTATTTGGCCAACCTTAGGCCTGCCTTTGCCCGGTATAAGGCCGAGTATATGTCTCTAAATTTTTATATTTTAATATAACTAATTAGTGGCGTACCCATCCCCATGAAAAATATAATGAAAGGTTTTTTAACTTTAAAAAGGTTAAAAATCTATTTAAGAAATACCACCGGTGAAAAACGTTTAAATAGACTAGCACAAATATTTATATGGAGATTATCCTTGATAAAAATTTGATTTTAGATGAATTAGCAAGATCTCAAGTAGACCTTTCTTTATAAATTCAAATCAAAAAATTGCAATATGATTATATTCGTTTTAATATATAATATTTATAATCAAATTTTTTCCTAAAATGAATTCTCTTATAACCAGCGGCGTCGCTAAGGGGCGGAGGGGCTCGAGCCCCCTGAAAAATTTGAATGGCCCCTGAAGAAATTTTTTTTTAATGACTTCTTAATACCCCCTTGAACTAAAAATAAATTTTTTTAATTGCTCACTGAACGATTTCTTTTATAATTCTATTGAGTAATATATAGATTTAATTTTATTATTTAAAAATTAATAAGGCTATCTAAATTTTTATTAAATGAATACTATTTTTATTATTAGATTAGATTAACATATAAAATATATTTTCGCTATGCCAACTTGCGATCATATTCTGTGTTAAAAATGGAATATCAATATCACTCACTAAATATTAATTTGGCATTAACAGTAGAAGCTTAATTGATTTTTATTATTTAAATTATTATATAACCCTAATTAAAAAAATATAATCATTTATTAATGAAAATTAACAAATTTAATATTGCAATTAGCCGAGTTTAACATCACTAATCAACTATATTATTGATTTTAAAATATAATTATCATGTCTCTTTCTAAAATTATTTACAAGATCCAAATCCAAATAAGTATAAGAGATTTATTTATAAAAAGTATAGACATATATTTTATAATCCTCTATTATATATAATTATTTATAAAATATTAGGTAAAATGCCAATTTTACATACGTATTTGACAGTTATATAATATATTACAGTTAATATTTTTAAAACTTTACTAATAAATGCTTTTGATAATAAATATAAGTAACAATTTGCATTCAACTATTTACCGCCATCTATTTATTTATAAATAATTTTAAAAATTAAACATTATTAATTATTCTGCAATAAACAATGACATATATAATACCTAGACTGACGATTCATTCATTAAAAGTGTACATAAATGCAAATCATGTGGAGACGCCATCTTGGTTACACTAATCATTATTAAAATTATAAACGAGAGCCTAATTTATTCCTATATCTGATGCAAACTTTATTAAAGAATTACCGGATCATCGAAATAATAAGACAGCAAGTTATCAATTTAATAGTAGTTTTTAACATGAGAATAATTACTATATGTGTTACCAAATGGCCGGTCCAGCTGATTTGCTTTTAACGACGTTTAAAAATGAATTTTAATGAATGAATCGTCAGTCTAGGTATTATCTATGTCATTGGCAATAAATGTAATAATTTGATAACTTTTCTACTCTTTTTTTACGTGATTTTATGAAAGCTATTTTTTTCTTTTTTGAAAAACAGTTTTGAGTTAAATTTTTAATACAAATATATTTTTGATATTATTACATATTTTAAGATATAATATACCAAGTAGAGATGGTGCGACAATAATATATAAAATTTTAATATCTTTAATGATATCACTCTGGTTCTTATTTTATAGTTACAAAATGTTTCATTTTTAATATGGCATCCTTGCAGTGTAAATAACTCAAGGTTTTAATATATTTGCATAATTTCTTCTAAAGATTTATAGTGTTTTTGTTTCATCAATTTATCTAAACATAATAAATTCTGATATGGGTTACCATCATGGGTGTCATGGCTATGTAAATTAACCAGCATCTATTATTTGTGTGGCTATGTAATTTAAGATTAGTACTACAGCTGCTGAGAGCATATGATTGCATATTTTAGATAAGCAATAATGGTCTACTGTGTAGTCGTTTATATATCATAAAAAATGGAAGATAATCTTTTATAAATTTAATATCTCACAATAATTTTCTCGATTACTTTACATCATGTAAGAGGAAGCTCTAACTCCCATATTGTTTTATGATTTGGATTGGTCGTTTATATTCTCTTCTTCGAGAATTGTTGATTTGGTAAAGCCTATAAATTTCTTCTTATTAGTCCATTCTATAAAACAGTGTCTACTGTAATAAATAGATTTTGTATTATAAAAATATTATTTTTATATATGTTTAATTATTTTTATGCTAGTTTATTTTGTATGCAAAATATAATAAATGACAAAATATGAATTTCAGAATAATTGTTTAGAGTTAGCAAATTTTAAAAAAGTATGATATATTAATATAAAACCCGGCCGAAGGCCGGGTAAAAGAGGAAAATTGAGGGTATAAGGGCGAAACCCCCATAAAAATTTTTTAGTTGAGCCCCCTGAGATTGTAAAGGCTAGCTACCCCTGCTTATAAGATTTATATAATTTTTGTATAAACTCTTAAAATATATGCAATTAATGTATTTTATTTTAATGAAAGTACTGTGCATTATTTATATTTTGATAATATTGTTATATTTTTTATTGTTAAATTACATTTTTTTTAAATAGAGTTTTTATACAATAAAATTTTTAATATTATAATCTGTATTAAATATTTATATTTTGAAATTTATTTTAAATAATTAAAATAAATACATGATTAAATAAAGGAATGTTATTTATGCTGAAGTTATAATAAATCAATCTATAATAAAATACTCCCTAAAATTTTGTTACATGCAAATATTTAAAATAATTTTATTAAAGCCTAATAAGAAATTGAGTGTTCATAGGTTTGAGTGTTTCGCCCTCCAAAGATTTTTAACCCCCCCCCTCCCCATGAGGATATAATAACTACACCACTGACTTATTAGTATAATTAATCAATATAATATCTATCACAAATGTTGTACTTAACTCCAAATTCTGCTCCCTTTTTTATAAAAGCTATCGACGCCCCCAAATAATATATTTTTTTTTTATATGATGACATATGGAAATATTTGAGAGCTTTCAAATATCATATGAACTTCTGAATTTGATAATAATTTCATAATTTTTGTGATCGTTTTGGTATAATCATAAATTATAATATCCTGATGTCTATACAATACATTATGAATGCAAAGTTTTATAATTTACATAATTAAGTTCTATCATTTAATTAGAATTTACAAAGATCTGATGTCAACAGCTATACTCATAGCTTTATTAACTTATTTTCTAATACCATTGGCTTTTAAATACTATATTCCTCTTTCAAGAAGATTGATCTTTTTAAATACAAGTGATTTATAATTATGTTTTACAAATTTATTTATGTTTAATAGTACATTGGCCTCCCTTTGTAAATTTTAACTTTCCTGATAAATTAGGTTTATTAGGGACACAAAATTATAATATTAATGTTGGACAAAATATTACTATAGGATTATGGTATGAAATTTGAAAAAATTAAATATATTTTAAATAAAGGCACACATTACCAGAGGACATGTTACCTTTATATAAAAAAGATACCCACTCCTATAATTATTTAAACTCTGGTCATCCTATTATTTTATATTTACATGGAAATGCTGGAACAAGGTATTAAAATTATATAACTTTATGAATTATTTTTATCTATTAGAGCTGGATGGCATCGTATTATGTTATATAAAATTCTCTCAAAAATGAATTTTCATATTATATCATTTGATTACAGAGGTGAGTAGATTTATAAATTCTGAGCAAAATTTTTGATTTCTTATAATACTTTATTTTATTTTCACATTTTTTTCAGGGATTTTATTTACAATGATTAACTACTTTGTACTTATTTATTTTTTTATTATAAAAAGTTTTGTATAAATTAGTAAATTATTTTGAAAGATATTAGATCATCACTTATTTTGATTAAAAAATAATAATGGAGGGCAATAGTATTTGAAGTTATATTTTTAGCAGTGAAAATAGGCTGACATAATTATTTTTATATTTTTATAAAAAAAATATGTAAATTACTAAATTTGAACTAAAAAATGAAATAAAAATATATGAATGTTCATTTTGGCTCAAGTTATAAATATACTTATTTTATTTTTCTCTTAAAATGAGTAAAGGTTTTGGGGATTCTATTGGTACCCCAACAGAAAAGGGTGTTCTAGATGATGCAAAATATGTATATAGTTGGATTAAACATCATAGTGGAAATAATCCAATAATATTGTGGGGACATTCACTGGGGAGTGGGTATATATTTAAAAATGATTACCTTTTTAAAATTCTACAAAAAATTTTGTAGTGTTACAACTAAATTAGCAAGATTTCTTAATGATAATGAAGGTAAATACTTTTTTTATATTTTTGAGATTCCTATTTTATATTGAAGAAAAGTAAATATATTATTTCTTTATCTGTCTTATTTCTCTTTTTCATATCATTTATATAACATTTTTAAAGTAAAACTAAAATGAAAATATAATTTGAAAGTAAAACTAAAATAAAGAGTAAATAATACATGTTACAATTTATATAATTCAACATATATCATAAATCAATTTACATTATAAATTTTTTAGCATATTTAATTGAACTGATTATTTATTTGGCAAAATCAAATCTCTTAAGCTTACAAACCAGCAGCTGTTATATTAGAGGCACCTTTTACAAATATTGAAGAAGCAGCTTCAAGGCATCCATTTAGTAGAGTATGTGATTTTATTTTTATAGAGAAGAACATTTGTCAGGGTTTGAAAAGATTTTTTTGCCCAAAATTTGAGCAAAAAAATTCTAAATTAAAGATCACAAAATTCAAGATTTTTTTTTTAAAGATCAAAAAAATTTTTAGTTTGTGATTTCATAAAAGATTTTAAATGCATAAAAGTCACAAAAGATTTATTTATAAAATATTTTTAGGGAAAAGGATTTAATTTTAGATGAAATTTGATCTTATTCTTAGAAATATCTTCAAACATCAAAAATCTTTAAATATTTTTTTATTATTTCAAACTCTGGAGGGCAAATTAAAAGTATCAAGTTACTATAAACAAAATAATTAGATTAATAAGTAGTTCCTTCTCTATCACAATGCTAAATAAAACATAAAATTAACCTATCCAAAACCCTCCCATAATTTAAACTTTTATTTTGTTTGTTAGCATGGGCCTTTCCCTGTCTTCTGATTTCCCATGGCTGCATAAGTGACATTACTTCTTGTGTGCATGGATAACTGTGGCCTAACCAAAAAGGTAGATGGGACTTATCATAATTATCCTTAATTTTTGTTTCCCAGTTTGATGGGTTTGTGAAAACTAAGCACTTATTGTATATTCAATGAATAGGGTTAGATGCTTACACATATTTGTGATATGGAGAGTGGAACTTTTTATTTAAATATGAATTAAACAGCACATTATTTATATTGGAATTGTTACCATTTTATAAAAGATGTGATTTATATTTATACTTGAAAAACTCAACCCTCATTTGGCCCACTAAGAATCTGTGCACAAGTTGCCCAGTTTGGCCCATTATATTTTTTTCAAAAATTTACTCAATGACAAAAAACACAAAATGAAACAAGAGGGGTTCAAATATTAATTATATCAGAAAAATTACTAAGACTAAATTCTACTATAAGGCTAAACTCAGAATGCAAACTATCAAATTAAATGCTAGGCAAACTAATTTTCGGATCTATATCTTTATTAAATAAAACTATTATCAAATTACAAGGGTCAAAAATTAAAGGCGCAAAATATTATCATAATTTAAAAAGGTTTTATTACCATAAAAAAAGGTTATCAAAAATTTAAAAGTCACAAAAAATATAAAAATCGAAAAATCATAAAAATTAAAAAAGTGTTTCTTTGTTCAAAAAAATATCAACAAAAATCTTTGTCAGAAATGACTGACATTTCATTAATTAAAAACTAATATATTTATAAAATTGATTGACATTTCTACTAAAATAAGTATCATTTATGACATGCCACCCCTTTATGGGCTGTGGCACGCCAAATAACAAAAAAAAAAATATAAATTTAAAAGGTGTCTGGGTGCAGCGGACCTTTTGTGGAGCCTTCAGGAGAGTAACTGATTCTCCCACAAGTCCATGTCATCTATACGTGTAGCTTCCGCAGAAAAAGCTGACGTCGTCGGCGTAGGTCCTTGAATGTTATCGACCGTTCGCTGGAGAATGTTGTCAATGGGGGGGTTTGACGTGCTGCTGGAACTTCCGCTGGAGGTACCATTCAGGGCACCCCTGTTGGCTGACGGCGCTTGTCGTATGGGAGCGCATGGAGCTGTTCCCCGCGTGGAGTCCTCCCCTCTCCTTCGATATTGCCTGGTTGATCGCCCAATGGTGTTGTCATTGATAGGGGCTAGAGGCGATCGCCCGTCTCTTCCTAAGATTGGGCACTGGCTTCGAATATGGTCATTGCTTCGACAATGGAAACATTTCTTGATACGGGGACCTCCAGACATCATCGAATTATCTAGTACCATCGTGGTTGGTATCGTCATACCGGTATTCTTGGGGATCAAGGTAATTTGAATGTAGCAGGACCCTAGATCGACTAATCGACTGGTAGTTTCCATGGGTCTTATCGTCTGGAATATGTGGAGATCAGCTGCAACGGGAGATTTATTTTAAATTTTCTTTGAAAAATTTTAATTTTTAATATAAAATTAATTCGCTTTAACTTATTTTTTAAAAAAAAATTTTTATTTTTAATATAAAATTAATTTAAAAAATTTTAAATTTTTAATATAAATTAATTTACTCTTTTTTTTTTTTGTAAAAATATTTTATTTTAAAACAAAATTTAATGAGGATATACCAAAATAAAGGCATATATATATTGTGTACATTGTTGCCCATAAACAAAAATAATTAATAACCAAAAACAAAAACGACAATTTCAAAATAATTTATTCTCACTCCTACTTATAGGATGTAAACTAGATGAGGCACACACATGTTTATTCATAAACTTTTCTTATTATTTTTTTTTTAAAACCAAACTGTCTCTTACCCTGGCAACTGGCCAGACAAAACAAATTTTCTTTTAAACAAAAATATTCACCAACCTTACCAATATCATAAACAAATTTTCTTTTAAAACAAAAACATCCACCAACCTTACCAATATCATAAAAATCTTCTTATTCTTTAAAACAGTCATCTGACTGTAAAAACAGATAATAGACGACACACCATTTCTTTTCTATAACATTTTTTAAAAAAAACTTTCTATTCATTTAATGAAAGACAAAGACAAAACTTGTCTTTTCCATCACCACAATATACAAACATGTTTTTATTACTTTGAAAACCAAACTTTATTTAATACAAGACAACATTAACACAAATCTTCATTTGACAAAACAGACAAAGACATTCCTTAACGAACCAAACCGAAGAAAACTTTCCATATCATTACCATGTTGATAAATTTATTAAACCCGTCTATATTGACCTATTTTTAATATGACCAAATATATTAAGAACCCGATTTTATTAAACTCATCTAAATTGAATTATGCTTTTCACTGAAATTGACCAACAATCCGTTTATATTGACCTATTTTCAATACGACTAAATATATTCGGAAACCGAACCCATATGAACCCCAAACAAATAAGACGCTTCCTATTTATCCCAATCTCATATGATCGTGGTGACGAACCACGGTCACCCCTGTTATTAACAAAATTTCACTTAATTTCGAACCCCGGTTCAATATGACCCGACCCTTTTCCCATCTGGTTGCCCGACTGTCGAACAATCGGGCCCAAACCTTTTGTCCCACGGCAAACCGTACCTCTAATTTTACTTCCATTGAGGTAATAGTCTTCTTCTTTGGTTTTAAGAAATCCAAAGGACCCCGTGTTCGCCTACCTAAAAATAACTCGACAGGCGTAACTCCCTCTCGATTACGAGAATTGAGGTAATAGAATTGAGACATGTAAGCCTCCTCTTTATGTGCTCCAGCCTTTTTGATCCAATTTTTAACAATGGCTGTCTGGAGGTCCCCGTATCAAGAAATGTTTCCATTGTCGAAGCAATGACCATATTCGAAGCCAGTGCCCAATCTTAGGAAGAGACGGGCGATCGCCTCTAGCCCCTATCAATGACAACACCATTGGGCGATCAACCAGGCAATATCGAAGGAGAGGGGAGGACTCCACGCGGGGAACAGCTCCATGCGCTCCCATACGACAAGCGCCGTCAGCCAACAGGGGTGCCCTGAATGGTACCTCCAGCGGAAGTTCCAGCAGCACGTCAAACCCCCCCATTGACAACATTCTCCAGCGAACGGTCGATAACATTCAAGGACCTACGCCGACGACGTCAGCTTTTTCTGCGGAAGCTACACGTATAGATGACATGGACTTGTGGGAGAATCAGTTACTCTCCTGAAGGCTCCACAAAAGGTCCGCTGCACCCAGACACCTTTTAAATTTATATTTTTTTTTTGTTATTTGGCGTGCCACAGCCCATAAAGGGGTGGCATGTCATAAATGATACTTATTTTAGTAGAAATGTCAATCAATTTTATAAATATATTAGTTTTTAATTAATGAAATGTCAGTCATTTCTGACAAAGATTTTTGTTGATATTTTTTTGAACAAAGAAACACTTTTTTAATTTTTATGATTTTTCGATTTTTATATTTTTTGTGACTTTTAAATTTTTGATAACCTTTTTTTATGGTAATAAAACCTTTTTAAATTATGATAATATTTTGCGCCTTTAATTTTTGACCCTTGTAATTTGATAATAGTTTTATTTAATAAAGATATAGATCCGAAAATTAGTTTGCCTAGCATTTAATTTGATAGTTTGCATTCTGAGTTTAGCCTTATAGTAGAATTTAGTCTTAGTAATTTTTCTGATATAATTAATATTTGAACCCCTCTTGTTTCATTTTGTGTTTTTTGTCATTCACAGTATTGGCTTTCAAATCCTCCCAATTGGTAGGACCCCCTTTTAAAATATAAGACAGAGAACGCACTAAGGCCTTCTCTCTATCACTTATACTAATATTTATTTCCGGGTCCGCACAGTCAGAACCCAACCTGGACAAAATATCCGGCAAATGATTCTCTTTGCCCCGACGATATCTAACTTCCACGTTAAAACTTCCCACTAATAACAACCAACGTTGTAACCGGGGAGATAGCATTAACTCCCTATTATCCTTTCGGAATAGGTGGATTAATGGCTTATGGTCAGTAAAAATTTCAAATTTTTTACCAATCAAATATTCACGGCATTTCGTCAAACCGAAAATCACGGCCAAGGCCTCCTGTTCAATCACCGAATATCTCGTTTCGACATCCCTAAAAACTCGGGGAAAAAAAGGATGGGTCTTTCCACACCATCAATTACATGTAATAAGGCTCCTCCAACACCTTTGTTGGAGGCATCAACCGCTAAAATAATTTCTAAATAATTGTTGAAACAGACTAAAATTGGCTCTTCCCCAATTTTTCCCTTTAAAATTTCAAATGCTTCTTGTTGCTCTACTTTCCAATCGAAATGAACACCCTTTTTTAATAACTCATATAACGGGGCAGCTACCTTCGCAAAATCCTCTATAAAACGATGATAGTAATTTACCATACCCAAAAAGGACTGCACTTCAGCCTTATTATTGGGCTGCTTCAAATTTAATATATTTTTCAAATTTTTTTTTAATGGCTTCACCTCAATCCCATTTATTTGATGGCCTAAATATTCGACCTCCATTACACCCAAAAGGCTTTTCTCTTTGCTGGCTCTCAAGCCTTTATCATGAATTCTTTTAAAAACTTCCTCCAGACGATGGTTATGCTGCTCAGGCGTTATCCCTGTAATTAGCACATCATCCATGTAATAAAATACACCCTCTAATCCTTGAAAAACGGACGCCATGGTTCGCTGAAAAATAGGCGCTGACACACTCAACCCAAATGGTAATCTACAAAAAGCGAACAGCCCTTTGGGAGTCGTGATCGTCAATAATTTACGAATCTCCTCCCTCAAAGGTAATTGTAAATAGGCTGACGAAAAATCAACCTTTGAAAAATATTTCGCTCCCTTCAACTGGGCCAAAATTTCCTCAATTCGGGGTAAAGGATATTTAACCTCTACTACCCATCGATTAACGGTTACTCTGAAATCAGCACAGAGTCTCAATTTACCATTTGATTTCTTAACCGGTACCAACGGGGTTGCCCATACACTATATTCCACTGGAACAATGATACCATCTTTAACCCATTGATCCAATTCTTCGTCAATTTCCTTTTTCCATTCAAAAGGGACTCGACGACACGCTAGGAAAATAGGTGCAAATCCTTCCCTTAATTTTATATCTACTTGATAATCATTAAGACAACCTAATTTGTCTTCGAAAATTATTTCATACTTCTTCATTAAACGAGATATATTTTCACTCATTTTATGTAATTCAGGAATACCAATAGCCACCACTGGGGTTTTATCCATGCTAATGTTGTTTTCCACCATTAATTCCGTGGACTTTACATACCTATCAGAATTATGGGTTGAATCATTTTGCTTTATGGTTAAATCCTTCCCTTCTATTTCACAGATATTTTTTCGAGCGTTATAAGCAATATTTTGGTCTTTCTGGTTAATTATGGCCGAACCATTATGTAGGGCAAAAATATTCCAATAATTACTGAAAGGACCTAACTGAACAATCCAATCCCACCCCATGATGGTTTCCACATCTTTCTTTACTACCCATAAATCTAGGAAAAATGTGGTATCATGAAGAATTACGCCCAATTTAGTTTTTCCCAAAACTATTATCTCAGACCCATCAAATTGTCTGACACACATAGATTCTTTCTCAAGCTTACCTTTAGGCCAATACTTAAAATAATTTCTTCGAGACATTATAGAAATGCTAGCCCCTGTGTCGAACAACATGTCAATATCCCTCGAGTCAACTCTTACGATAACTCTTGGACAAGGACGAGGTTCGACTAATCTCTCAGTCATTAAAATATCATATGTTTTAATTGACTGATCAATATTAATCTCATTTGAAACATCAGTTTCATGAGAATTCCCATTTGAACATAAATTCAACTCGGAATTTAGTGGTTCCTTAACCATATTCATATTCTTTTTTGCAATATAACTGGGATATTTTTCCCATCTGAAAGCATTAACATTCCTTTCATTGGAATATTTGACAATACCCCTAGGATATTTATCCCATTTAAAATCATTAGAATCTTTATTATTTTTATCATCATGAATAAAAAAATTTCGGTTATAATCATGGTTATTTACTTTATTATCATTTTTCCATCCCGATCTCCTACCTACTATATGATTACATTTGCAATCATATAGTCAATTTTTGATACAGTTTATGGCTACATGTCCCGGTTTGTTACATTTAAAACACAAACGGGATTTGCCATAATTCGGTCGTAAAACATCAAATTTAATCGTGTTAGTACCAGAAATTTTTCTAACATTAGAATTTTCTAATGCCAGTTTCCTTAACGGAAAACCTTCACGAAAATTTTGTTCTTGGACTACGCAGGTCTCTACCTTGTGACCAACATACCCACAGCGGGTACATTTCAAATCTTCTAAAATTTTCTTATGACCTGAAAAGCCATTTTTTCCCATGAAAATATTTTTTTCATTTGTCCATGTCGGCCCACGTATTTGTCCTTTATTAATATTACTATTCGTAATCACCAACGTATTTATATCTTGATATATAATCTTAATCACTTCTTTTAATTCTTTCAATTCCTGGAGGATAACTATAGATCTCTCCACACTATCCAAACGGTCATCGTTATTATCTTTCATCGTTTCCACCTTTTCAGGTCTGCCGTTCTTGATTTCATTTAAAATTCCATTTAAACTACTTTCCAAGACCGCAATCTTTTCCCAACAATCAGCCGACACCGGAGTGTCTAATTTCCAATTACCATATACCTTGGTCGCAACCAGCGTACATTTTCCAAACAAAAATTTTATCATAATATGTAACACATACAGTAGGACCAACAATAAAATTGTCACTACGGCATTATTTACATCAAATTTATCAACCATTTGATACACACTTTGATAAGTAATACTCGGATACTCCGAAATTTTATCAAATACGCTAGGCTCAATATCAAAATTAAATATAAAGCCCATCTCATTATATGAAAAATTTATATTACTTTAAAACGGCCGTGTTAAATTTCTAAAAATTTACACAAAAAGGTGATTGCGTTGTGTTCTGAGGCAAGATACAAAATATAAAATAAAATATTTTCTTTTACCTTGAAATACCGAATAACCCTGGAATCGAAACAATCCTGGTGGTCTCGGTCACCAATGACAAAAAACACAAAATGAAACAAGAGGGGTTCAAATATTAATTATATCAGAAAAATTACTAAGACTAAATTCTACTATAAGGCTAAACTCAGAATGCAAACTATCAAATTAAATGCTAGGCAAACTAATTTTCGGATCTATATCTTTATTAAATAAAACTATTATCAAATTACAAGGGTCAAAAATTAAAGGCGCAAAATATTATCATAATTTAAAAAGGTTTTATTACCATAAAAAAAGGTTATCAAAAATTTAAAAGTCACAAAAAATATAAAAATCATAAAAATTAAAAAAGTGTTTCTTTGTTCAAAAAAAATATCAACAAAAATCTTTGTCAGAAATGACTGACATTTCATTAATTAAAAACTAATATATTTATATATTTATAAAATTGATTGACATTTCTACTAAAATAAGTATCATTTATGACAAGCCTTATAATTTTTTTCTAAAGTTTAACGAAATGTCAGGTTGGCCCATTAAAATTTTGCAAAAAAGCTGTCCCAACAGTTAAAAATTTTTGCACCCATTCTCTGGCCAGTTTTAATATCTATATCTAATTTTTCTACAATGTCAATTATTGCTCTTTTTAACCTTAACCAGATTTAATATAATTCCTATGACATATAAGTTAAAATACTTCAGTCTTAAATGTTTTTGCGCAATTGCATATGCAGTAAAGGATTTGTGCTATGCATTCTCAAAAATCGACATTAGAGATCACATAAAAAGTTACCCCTGATTTAATGTTTACACAAATATTGGCATCTACAAAAAAAGTGCACGCCAAATCTTATATATTTCTTTTTAAATATAAGATTGTTTATGATTATATTATACTTTATTTTTTTAGATATACAGATATTTCCCTTGGTTTACCGGCTGTTTTTTGGAGCCTCTTCGACGTAACAAGATATATTTTAAGAGCGACATTAAGTATATCAAAAATGAATAATTTTGTTATTTTTTTGAAAAAATACACAACATTTGATATGATAGTCTTCAAGAAAATGAACCGATTCATTTGATATTCCTATTCGTTAGTCAAATAGAAAATGAACCGATTCATTTGATATTCCTATTCGTTAGTCAAATAGAAAATGAACCGATTCATTTGATATTCCTATTCGTTAGTCAAATAGAAAATGAGACAGGCTCAGGCTTAAATTTAAAAACCTGGGGCAGGTTTGAGCTTAAAATAGTTTTAGCTTCTTTTATTAAGATAAATGATAATTATAATTTCTCTGCTATTAGGACAAATGATTAATGAATATTTTATTTAATTTGTAAATATGGGTTTAGTTTATATTCAAATTAAAAAAATTCAAACTTAGCTCAGGGCCTTAAAATAAGAATTTTGACTTGAGCCAAAAGAAAGGTCTAATTTGATGGACTCCCATTCACAACCCCGTCATTTGCGAATAATTTGATTAATCGAACGAATCAATCGAAATTGAAATGGTATTAACAACACGGAAAAACGTCGTTAATATTTTTAACTGTGAGGAGGGGAGGGAAGCCTTTAAAAAAACTAAAATTAGCAAAAAAAAAGGGAAATCTATATCTGAAATTTAAAAGTGGGTATTGAAAAATCAAAAAGAAGATTAGAAGAGAGGGATTCTCCAAACTTATAAGGATGTTTGAACACCCTACTTCCCTAACAATGCCACTGGTGTTCTTAAGTGGCTAACCCAATATTTTGGCCAAAAAATATTGCACAAGCCTGAAGATTTTGCTCATAAATGACAGATAGGATTGGAGATATTAACGAAATCTCGAGGATTGGGTATTATTTTGGTGAAAATTTTAATTTAAACCTGCTATTGAGCCGTATAACCATATACACCATTGATAACATAATTTATATAAAATATTATGATTTTTAAGTAAGATGAATTTCCAAATTTAATGTAATTATTATTTTTTTTAAAATATATATATAAATTTATTAATCAAGTGTTAAATATATCGACAGTCCCTTGTTGATCATGCACGCTAAAGATGATAACGTTGTACCTTACGAGTTGGGATATAAAGTATTCATCCCCATATATTTTTTTATTTCTGCCAAGATTATACAATTAAGTTAATTTATTGGAGTTATTTGGATATTGATGTCATGTTTTTATGATCTATTTATAATTGTGAATTGACCTCTAGTATAATTAAAACTATGATTTTACTCTTTTTTTACAAAATGACATTTTTTTAGATATTTAAAATGGCACCCCCCTAATTCAATCATAATATTTATTGAAATTATATAAGCCTATATTATACAAAAACTCGTGATTTAATTTAAAGTATTATATTATTTATTTATATTGTAAAGTTACATCAAATCGCGAAGGAAAGTAAAAAGGATTCGAATATTCCGGTAATATTCTCGAGTTTTGAAGCAAAACTAAAGCTCGGTCATAAGCATATTCACTCAGCTCCCGACTTACCAGATATTATAAGGTTTGATTTTATTTATCAATTTGGATACTCGATTTTTTACGTATATAGTCAAGCATAGTTTTGTTAAATATCTTAACCTGGCTCAAGTTAATTTTTAGTCTCTGACTTAATTCATATATTCAAGCCTGCTTAAACCAATTTGCTGATTTTGCTTAACGAATTATTTTAGTTATATATATGGAAGAATTCTTATATTTTTCAATTGGGCCTATTATATTTTAATATTAGTGGATCATAGGTTACAAATAATAAAAAGAGACTAAGAACGAACCAAATTTGCAAATTAGTTTTGGCATGTTTCGGCCAAATAAATCGTGGCTGATTTTATTTGAGCTAGCACAAGTAAGTACCTAAAAACATTCCGAAATTAAATTGACTTGGTCAATTTTTATAATGTGTCTCGGACATTTACATATTATAACATTAATTACTTATTTTATGCCAGAAATCATACCTAATTTAATTTTTTTAAAAACCAATTTCAACGTTTTAGAATATACTTTCCAGCTCATTGGTATCCGTCTACCCTTGATTTTTAGCTTATATTAATTTTCAAATTCAAGATTATTATTCTCCTTTGAAAAAATAAATATATATGTGTCGCATTGGGATATGAAATCCATGGGAATTTGGAATTCTTCAATTTTATATCATGTACGGAAACCAGATTTTTAATTTTAAAAAGTCCTAGCATGTAGAATACATACCCTATAAGTTTTAGATAATTTTTCTATGAACATTTGTGTAATTTTTAAAATTTATATGAAAATCGAATATAAAAACGGATATAAATTATGAGAGTATTACAACTCTAGGCAATCCGAAACACAGTATTGGTACTTTGCACATTTTGAAATATATTGCCGTTCAAATCGGATATTTAAGATATAAAAAATCGCATACCGAATTCCATATTTCAATACGATATATATAATATATTAATTAGAATAAAAATTTATTTGAAATTTAATCCTCATAAATTATAAGGAAAATGTAAGGGTTTTGAAAAATATATTTAAGCGGTCAAAATTGTATGCCTTGTTAATCTACTTATTATTTAATTGATTTACCTAAGCATCTTTATTAATTAAATATTATTCCATATATTATTTATCTATCAGGAAGTTTATGGACACCCACGTTCTAAATAAAATAAAGGGATATTAGAAATGATTCTACAAAGATTAACAAATCAAAAAATAATATGGACTATCACTGTTTATATTTGTAGGCAATCGTGGTCAATTTTTTTTTAAATCCATATATTTATATGATATCTGAAATTCTTTCATTATTTCTAACTTATTTAATGATTTTTAAATATTATGTAATAATAAAATTAATATTTTATAACTAATATAAGAAATATTTTTAAATATTATATGGGTATATTATTTAATTTATAACAATTATGATATCATTCTTTTTTTTAATTACATACGATTCTATTTTATCCTAATTTAACTAGAGAAAATTTGGCTCATTATTCACTTTTTAAACTATATCAAATGCGATTTTGTATTATAATTTTTTTTAAAAAAAATTGAAATATCCTATATAAAATACGCGGATAATAGAGGAAGAGATGAATAAACTACTTATTTTTTTTAATGTTTATTTTTAAGAACTCAAATATATAATATATATTTGCCACTATATGCTTTCATTCAATATATCCAAATTTAGAAAATGTATTATAAAACCTCACTTCAGTCATGAAAATGTATATTTAACTTTTTAATGTTTTTATATATATATATATATTAATATTGTTATTTATAAATTAATATTGTTATTTATAAATTAATATTGTTATTTATAATTAATACTCCCAGTTCATCTAAAATATATTTATATTTTAAGAATTATATTATATTTTATAAATTAATTTATATATTATATTTTAATATCTTTTTGGATATTTTTGATAAATAAACAGTTTTATTAAAATTTTTAAGATTTTATTTGTAATTTCTTTGCAGCATGGACAATGGAACGGAACGTTGCAGGATAAAAAAAGAATGTCGTTGAGTATAATTTTGCAAAAAATGAACATATTTATAAAACATGAGTTAGTTTTTCATTTTTTTTTGCATTTTGTCAATTAACATTGAATTTAAATTGGTTCATTCAAGTATATTATGAAAAATTATCTTAAAAAAACTTTTTTCTTTTTGTAAATAAAAGAAAATGTATAAACAAAAGGTGTCAGAAGTAAGCGTTTAAAACGTAGGAGCTAATAAAGTCTGTATTTTATCTTACTATTCACCCATTTATTAATTTGTAGTATTAAGAGCTGAGCTGATATGCATAAATTTTAAATCTTGGTGATTTAACAGCGATTCAAGATATTTGGCACCGAAACCTCAAAAAATCTGTTTAATATTTTAATAAATTGCACAAAATAAAAGAAATATTAATATAAAATATGTGGTTTGCATCATGTCTCTTGAAATACTTAATACATTTTTTTATTTAGTGAGCTTTGTATGGCCTTATAAGGGCAGTATTGGCTGCAAAGGTCAGATCGGATAATTTGGCTTGATTATCTTGAACTCTACCTCCAGTTCTTAATCACTTCACTCAATTACAGCAAAGGTTCAGTTAATTATTGTCAAAGTACGTAATGACACTTAGCAGTGCCACTATTATAATCAATTTTACTAAAATGATTTGGAACCAAAACCGCCTCAAATTTAAGAACCGAAACAAAGGCTTTTTAGTCCAGGTTTGAAACTGAGTTATTTATTTTTTCTTCACCTCTAACCAATAGGTTTTTTCAATGATTCACCCATTGCAGGTTTTATAGCCATAACTTCAGGTAGAAAATTTTTTGTTTATAAGGGTCTTTAGATATATTAAATTGAATAAGCGTAAAGGGTTTTCAAAACATTTCCGATGCTATTAAATATAATTAAAAAAATATATTCAATATCTACTGGCTTATTTAGTGTGTATTATTAAATAGAAAAACGTTCTGTGAATTTTAATATAAAAGTATTATATGAATATCATTTAACATTCATACTAATGTGTCATAAAACATGATTTATTACAAGCAATAATGGGAATTTTCTGACGTTGTTGACAAAGAATTGAACTTTTAATTTTTTAAGTAGGACAAAATATAATTTTGTCGATGAAAGCGGAAAAATTATAAGAGCTAATTTAAAAAAAATGGTGCTTTTATCTTGCCTATCCAGGATAACCGAACTAAAGATTATTGTTCAACCTATATGAGTTACGTCGAACTCGTATAGGTCGCTGGAAGTCACTAATAAAAAAATCGCTAAGTTTTTATGTCACATGATCTAAATAATTTATAGGCTCACAAAAAGGCTAGGTGTTAGATGTTTCGTGCGTACTAAGCACCCATTGGAAATAATTAAAGGAAAACTTGTTTAATTTAAAAAATTTTGAGTCTGTCCAATTGAAAAGCTTCGAAATTTGAAACACCAATCATTTCGCCAGTGGCCTTCTTTTAACAATAAAATGTTAATTATAATTATGAAATCGGTTAGACGAAAATTTACAGATAGTGAAATTGTTATTTAAATCTATTTTTTGAAAATATAAAGTATAAAAATAAGGATCAGAATTATACATTGTATGATCTAAATTTTTAGGATAACTTTGAATTTGATTTTAATCAATAAATTTCTTATGATTTTTTTTTAAAAAAAAATAACATTTCAGGAAAGATAATGAAATATACGAGATTATGTTTCCACCACCCTGAGAATTTTTATTAAACAATATTTCTCGATTTTAACGTTTTTCCAGTTTTACTTTTAGCATCGAGAAACGCCGAAGATTCTAATCTCATTCTCAAAGTTTTCTGTGAAAAATAGCTCAACCTTGGAGAAATCTGAAAACTCATCTCACCCTTGGAGGTTTTCTTTGAAAAATAGCTTAACTTTGGAGAAAGTATAAAATGTTTATATCACACCTCAATGCTTAGCGGATCGCTTGTAGATCAAGACAATTGCCCAACTTTTATAATAGGAACTGTTTCAAAATAACAAATTTAATATAAAAACTGTGATTGCTTTTTTTTCTAAGATAAAACGTAGTTATTTGCCAATAATTACTATATATCATATAAAATTGTCCTTAAAATCTTCTTTTCTTTATTAGATAATTAATTTGTACTATTTTTTTTTTCTCATAAAAAAAAACATAAATCAAAAATAAGATAAAATCATTTATATTATAATAGTCTTATAAACCCCCTTAATACGAATTCTTCATTCGTTGGCTAAATTATTTTTTATGCTGATATATAAATTTTATAATTTAATCCAGTTCAACTTCGTTCGTATCTTTATTCAAATCCCCTATTCCTATTTGTCCGTGAAAAGTGTAATATTTGGAATTTGATAGTCCGTAAGCCACGCAAGCTCCCAGAGCACTCCTTCTTATATTCATATTACAACATGTTATCCATTCTTTATTTTCGCAATCGTAGCTTTCTACTAATGATATAGTCGTGTTTCCTTTTCGCCAGATACAATAATTAAAAAATCCAAATTAATTTTTTTTTTAAACTTTATTATACTAAATTAAAGGTTAATATACGTCGCATTTGGATCAGGTATCTTTCATATTTATATTATTTATTATGAGCTATTTTTAAATTTAGAAAGTCTGATTTGACTCGTAATAATATTCCAGCATATGTAGAGTGACCACTCTGTAAACCTTAGACAATATATCTTTCAATTTATATATGAAAAATTTATATAAAAATGAAAATAAATTTAGTGTGTTAAAATGTTATTGACAAATATTGTCTGAAATTCACGGTGTTGGTACTCTATACGTACTGAAGTATATTTCCAGTCAAATCAGATGTTTGATATTTAAATATCGCCCTCAATAATTGATTTAAAATTGAGAGATTTTGAATCTCCATGGATTCCATACCAATACCACATGTATAATATTGGTTACAAAATAAACCATTGAATCCTCCTATCGCGTACAAAAATCCTTCCATTTGAATCAACATGAAATTGCTTCTGGGGCAAAGCATGTTTGGTATTTCGACCCAATCCCCTTTTTCTAAATTGTAGTATTCACCTTATTGATTTATATATATATGTATATATATAATTGATTTCCAAAAATATTATTATTGTTTTGCAATATAATATTAACTTTAATTAACATATAAATTTGCATCACCCTGATTTTCGAAATATTAAACGATCAAGTCTAATGATTGATAAATAAATGTCAAAGTATATTAAGAGAGATGAAAATCCCCCCCCCCCCCACACACACATTTGCATTTTATCTTGAAGATTATAGAGATTTTTTCTTGATAATTGAACTAAATCCTTTAATATCTGAGTGAGGAATAGAAAGGTAAGTTAAAAATTTAGTGTTCTTACCAGAATTTAATCTGTTAGTCCCGTTAAAGCCTCCAACTACATATAAAATATTGTTGTGGGAAACGCATCTAACTCCGGTGCGTGGAGATAGCATGGGCCTTATCTCTATCCATTGCTCAAGATCCGTGTCTAGATATTCGGCGGTATTTGTTATTTCCTCACCGTTGAAGCCGCCCACCATAAATATTTTGTCTTGTTAATATTTTTTTAGTATATGTATTTGTACTACTATTATTAAATTAAAAATGAAATGTTATTGTTTTAAATCATAAGAATTATAATAAATTACAAATATTTAAGGAATTGCAATGTATTACCTACAATTTCAAAGCATTTAAAATTAAAAGGGATATAGGAAAGAACGATGTATATTACAAAAATAAATAAAAATAATTGGTAAAAAGTTTCCTTATAAATATTTAGTCAAATGTTTATCATCTTTAGACTGTCGATGTGTCCAACTCTTTATCATCTACTTAAAGACCCCAAAATTCTATAAAATAAATGCCTGTCGAACTGTTCTATATGTCAACAATTTTTATATGGTTGACCAAAACTTAACCCCTTTGATGAGGGACCACTTTAAAGGAGTTTTGCTATATATTTAAAATGGATAAACAATATTTGAAAGTTTAAATTAAAAATTTTTTTAAATAATATTAGGAAAATAACTTTTTATAGTAGCTGCACACGCATCGCTCCTTTGCCTGTGCATATCCTTGGGTAGCATAGTCCATTGATTATTAATCGGGTTATACTTTTCCCCAGATGCCATTCTTTGTACTCCATTATATCCACCTATGGCATATATGCGACCATTGTAACATGCCACGCTCACGTAACAGCGGGGTTTATGCATAGGAGCTACCAGTTTCCATTCTTCGGTCTCTGGATCAAAAGATTGAACCGTGCTAAAATAGTCCGTGCCATCGTAGCCACCTATAACATATATAAATCCATTTAGGAACACCATTCCATGGTATGCTGGCCTGGAGGTCGTAGGGTTTGATGTGCAAATAAACCATCTGTCTGATCTCGAATCGTAAGTTTCCATAAAATTAGTCGTGTTGCCGGTGCTCCAGCCTCCCATCGCGAAAATAATTTCGTGAGGGATTCTAAACAAATAGAAAATTGGAAAATATATTTATCTGATTTATAAAAAATATTATTTACCTAGGTCTAGCATATGAAAAATTAAATCCAACATCGTTCAACATTTGATTTTCAGACTCTTTAACATAAGACTGAGCATCCAATAAGTAGTTTTTAGACAAATCTGAATTCATGGCTTCTATATAGTACTCATTATGAGACAGTGTATTGGCGCAGTAATCGAAGGATAACAAACCTAGTCTGATGCACTTAATTAGCCTCGAGATACATTTTCTTCTCTGTTTAGGACTAACCTTGATCCACTTTATCAGGAGATCGAATGTTTTTTCTTCACTTTTGATGTTAAGGGCATCATCGCTCAAAAATTTGCACAGATCATCCTCGTTTAATTGCAAAAACTCTTGGCTGCCAATGGCTATTTCCACGAATCTGGACAATACATACTTTCTAATCAACTCCTCCGTACAGGGCAAATTGTATTTCTTGACCAAGGAATGGATACCCAAGGCGTTATGAGTGTGCAAGTTATCAATAAGGTAATCGCAACAGAGCTTAAGAACCCCGAAAACGTGATATTCATCAGCGTAACACAGCAACACCTCCACATTATAAAAGTCTATTTCCAGCTGGTAATTATAGGCATAGTTGATAAATATCTCCATGATGGAGGATGGAACGCTCTTGAATATTATCCTCATGACTTGTGATCCCTGGTGATTAGGTTTATTCTCCTGGAATATAGCTTTGAATATCGGGCTGATGGTGGCTAGAACGGCTTTGTGAGCTTTGTACTCTACCCCATTCTCGGTTTCTATGATAACATCAGAGAAGTTCCCATTTTCTTTGATATCGATAAATGATTCTCCTATGATTTCGTCAAATTTAACGTCTACATTTTCTTCCATGGATTTTATCTCTACCTTTTCCACCCCTTTTTTACAAACTCAGATTACGACGACAAAATTGGGGTTTCTCTTGATTCGCTTTGAAAATTAAGAGCATTAAGAAAATAGAAAATGTATTTTTTTTTTATATTAGATATTTACTATTGTGTTCTTTTCTTTCATTTTATATTTAAACATCACTTTCTATTTAAATAGATTTTAAAAAAATATACCAATCAAAATAACGCAATCACTGTAATAAAATGCTTAAATTCACAAAGTAAATACTATCGTTTAGAGATGTTTGTCGTTGTATCTCTTAATCATAATTCTGCCTATGGTAAATGATGGCTTAACGCTAGATCTGTTTAAATTATGTTCGTTACAATAAAAATGAAAAATAAAGATGTCGAACGATTTAGTACATCCATCCAGTCCCGATTATTTATTTAAATTTTCATATATATCATTTCCTGTTAAGAATTCTTAGGTTCGTTTGTGGCTCAAAAAAATTCAGCTAAGCAAACATTTTAACTTTTAATTACAAAATAAACAATTTATAATACTTTTGATTTGACCTGAGAGAAGTAAAAAAAACTTAATTTTTAGCTTATAATAATCTGTAATTATAATTTTTTAACGAGTCTTTTATCCTTTCATTCAATTTTAAAAAAAATTTAAATGTTGATTGCAAATTATAATTCAAAGAAATTGCAAATTATAATTCAAAGAAAGTGCAAATTCTTAGATCTATTGACCACTGTTTGTACCAAACCATGACCGTTTGGTCTTAATCAATTTCGTGGTTCAGGTTTGTAATCGATTTTAAGATTCGTTTTCCAGTTTTGCATTCGGTTTTTGGGTTAGTTCGGTATGTACCAAATTTTTTATGTATATATCTTTTTATAATTATTATATAAACAATTTAATCAACTTCAATTATCCCCATAAACCTATTATTTTCTAAAAGGGTGACGTAACAAAAACAGCTTAACAAGCAAGATGATTCAATCTAACATGTGTTATTTTATTGGGTGAACATGTCTGAAAAATGTCCACATCTATATAAAATAATTTTTTAATCTAATCTAATTAAGCTAATCATATTATTAAAATAAAAATATTTTTCTTATTATCAGAGGGCAGAACCATCTTTTTTATATGATTTATGGATTTTTAAGTTCAGTCTTCTTAATTATGGATGGGTACTAATAAGTTTTTTTTTAAAACTTTAATTCACCTAGGAAAAATTTTAAAATTATTGTTCAAAAATAAATTTTTTTTAATAGCGTTAATTTTTTCAACCATGCCCTTCTCTTCCGGCGACAATGATTATCACTGTTGTATTAGTTATCATTTTTTTAATATTATTTCAATATTAAACAAATACAATTTTTTTGTTTTCTTTCCGGTTTGGCCTAGTTCGGTCAGTTTGGCCTAGTTCGGTCAGTTTGGCCTAGTTCGGTTCAGTCTTTGTGGTTAACAGTTCGGGTATAAAAAAATATGACCTTATACCGAACCGAGATAGATTTTAGACCAATATAACTCATAGATTTAATTTTTGAAAGTTAATGCCTAACAAATCTGTTTGCGTTTTTTTTCAGGCTGGCTATAATATTTGTTGGTTAAAAATTTAATATACTTTGTAAATCTACAATTCAAAAATATATCTTGAAAAGTTAGCTTGTCATTATTTTTTTGATGAATTAGTGGAATCTTTATTTTTTAGACGCCATTTTTTTGCAATAACTGAGCCACTGACTGGAATAAATAATTTATTTATAACCCAACCCTATTCACTTCTTTTGAAAAATTGGTTTTTTTTCTTTATTTTCTTTTCTTTTCTTTTCTTTTTTTTTCTTTTCTATACTGAATGAACCACATTATCAAAATTATAATAATTATTTTAAAATTTCGTTTTAATTTTTAGTCGTATTAGGAAGCTGGATTTGTGTTTCGTGCATACAATTTTAGGCATATAACGATGACGAATTGCCATACACAATAAGCTTTAAAAAATGAATGATTATAAAAAATATTGAAACAAAGTGTTACTCTTTCATCGTCAATAATTTTGTTATAGGTAAAAAAAAAATTAAATATAATTAATCTTCTTTTATTTTACCACTTTTTATTACACACATAAATATAGTTTGTAGGATGTTTAAAAATTTTTTAAGGTCAAATATCACTCTAATTTGCCAGGTAATTTTAACTTAAAGTTAATATTAAAATTTGAAAAATATATAAAAATGTAAAGATTTTATTTATATTTAATTTAAAATAATTAAATTGTTAGGCTAAATCTAATTTTTTTTTTTATTACAAATCTATAATAATGCAGATTTTAATGATAGAGACTTTTCTTTTTTATTCTTATAAAAAAGGAGAGAAGGTATTTTTGCATCTTTATTTTTGTAAGCGTGAAAAAATATTTTCACTATAGTATATCTTTAAAATAAGTTTATAGGGGTTAAAGTATAACAACACGAAAATTATAATCGTTTTTGACCTATATAATGTTTATAATTTTCATTTATTACTTTGTAATGTGGTTTTATTTATAATATCTTGTAAAGTTATATCTCATCATATTCATTGATAATTATATAAAATGATAATACATAAGCACAAGAACAAATAACTTTTGAAAAAAGGGTGAGACAGACATCTTGGAGAAACAGTTTTATGGGCAGGAATTTGCAAATTTTGTAAAAGCTTATAATTAGACAAATTTTGCATAAAAAAGTTATTATGGGTCGGTTCGGGTAACTTGTACAAAATTAGTTTTCGGAGGAGGCAAAAAAAATGTCTAGCCGAAAAACCTTAATGTCTATACATAGAAGTCACCTGTAACGCGCTCATAGGGTACGAAGTTTTGTCCTCTATTAGTGAAATCTCGAGGTTTAGGCATTATTTTTTTCTGGCTATTATATTGAGTTGCCCTTTTTTAAATACAGGATAGTTCCAGGTTTAGTTCTGATAAAAATAAGGGTTTTTGGTTCAATTTCGCTCCTAAAAATAAAAATATCGTTTTTAATTTTTTTATACAAGCGTGTTAGAATTATGTAAAAAGAAGTATATTTTTAAAAAAAAAAGATTTATCAGTTTTTTATTTACTCTTGATGATTTTTGAGGGATGAGGTTAAATATTGATATATGTTTCACAGCCTTGATTCTTATCAAATCAAAGGAATCATCACTTCTTTATTTTTTAAATATATTAATTGTGGAATCAATTCAATTTTTAGTATCCACTTTATTAGTACCGACTGATTGTATACACTTATGGATTTATTGTTATTAATACCTCATAAATTTAAATGGCCAATATAATGTAATTTATACTAACGCATTTAAATAAAAGACCAGAAGCTTCGACTGAATCATGAGTGAAAACCTCTGAGTTAAGAGTTCTATTAGAAAAGTAGAATATTACCAATCAATTCTTATAAATGATACGAGATGTTTTTGACCTGTCCACAACTCTGGTCTAAAAGGACACCTTAAAACGACTAAAAAAAATATACAATGAATTAGATAAATAAAAAATTAGAAATGATTACAATATTATTATACCAATTTTAACCACAAGATGCAACTTTTGGTTGTAGCATTATATAAGGCACATTTTTATTAATATTTTTTGAAGCAGGGTTTTTACTCCTCCATTTCATCCAGACATGACGTTTGAATATCATATGCCTGGCTTATTATATTCGATAAATTAAGTTGCTTTAAAATACAATTAGTAATGCTTTCAGCAATTGTAAATAAATAATTCAATTTTCTTGGATTTCTTCACAAAAAATATAACGAATAATTAGGCTCAGGTTTTTACAACTTGTTTACAAATTTGTATAAATTATAATAAATTCTAAAAAAATTATTGTTCTTATTTAGATTTAATCGTGAATGGTGTATTAAAATTTAATAACTATAAATAATTTTTTTTAAATTGGGGGCCAAACATTTTTTCGAGGAGCCAGGCTTGGTGGTTAAACCCCCGTGGCTACAGTCCTGTTTAAACATATTGTTATTATATGTTATTATTGGATTGGATAATATTAATTAGGAAGAAGGAAATTGATAAACTAGCCATGTTTTTTGAAAAATACAAATATAATTGTACAGTTTCTTAAAATTAATATTTATAAATTTAAAATGTTACGCTAAAAATTTTAATGCGGGAGAAATGTTAAAATTGTGGAGGATTTTAGAGGGAAATTTCCCATTGCGAGATTGTGAGGGAGATGTATGCATTTAAACTATTCAACCGTTCCTTTTGGATCCCTGAAAATAGAAAATTTAGCAAGATAGGTAATATTATAAAATTTAAACTTTGCCACAAAATAAGAAAATACAAGTGTGCGGAAAAATTTTTCTCGTAATCGGGGTAGCACCTCCCGCCACGCTACTGCCAACATTCTTTTATTATTAATTATCATGCCATTTTGCTAAAAATGGTGGGGTGGGGGGCTTATTTTTTGCTATTAAAATTAAAAATAAAGAATTCATTTAATAAAATACATTAAGATTATCGCTTCGCTTTCTCAATAAAATACTAATGATAATGAGCATTAAATTCAAAATTTATTTCTCACATTATATATAAAATTAAAATACACCTTTCCCATAATGTTTCATGCAAATTAAAAAAGAGAAGAAAACACCATATTTTTTTGTAAATAAAGGGGTAAGTCAGTGCATGTGGTGATGAAATTTAATTTTATTAAATGTTGAGTTCCGATATTCGAGTATTTATATATTGTATACATAATAAATTAAATTATTTTTTAAAAATTTGATTCATCTAAATAATTTAAAGAAACTCCCAAGAAAAAGTACAATTAATTTCTTAATATTTTTACAAAATTAAAAACTTTTTATAAAAATTATATTCCGAAAATTCAAATCGCATATGGGATTTTAGTTGTACTAAGTTTCCATCCATATACATACAATGGTATATGATCTTGTTATTTTGGAAAGAACAATATATAATATTTATGATTCAAATTGTTAGATTTAAGCTTTTTTACTTCAAAAAAAAAAGGGTAGTCTTAAAGTTTATATCAGGTTAAGGAATAGCTAAAGCGGAAAACTGAAGAGAAAATAATAGGATTTCCGGAATTCGACCCGAAATTAAGACACTAAAATTTGTGGTTTAAGCTAGGTTTAATATATTTTACAACTTTTTTTATTTTTAAATTTAAAACTTTATATTTTTTGATTTTATTTTATAACAATAATTTATTTATTTTATAAATAAAGCCAGCTGTAAAATAAATAATAATATTATTTATTATTATTTAATTTTTATTGTTTATCTTTCTATTTCACAAATTTACATTATTTTTACACATTAATTTTTTTTATATAATCTATAAGTTTTTTAAAGTTTTATAGTTTAAAAAAAAGTGAAATTTCTACGAAAAGAAATATATATAAAATTAAATTACAAATTAAATAAACATTTACGGCGCGAAAGAAATTTATATAAAATTATTATTTTATCCCAAATCCAATGTAATATTATAATTCCGATAGTTATATCATTCTCTTTGGTTCTGGACCGTTTAATTCCTTAATTAATTTAATCTTGAGTATCACTCCAACCACAAAATTATACAAACTACTACCTATTGCTACATATCAACAGTAAATTTTGAGATATTGTCACACGACCCATTTTTCTAAAAATATTTTTTTTATAACATTACTTATTAGGTACTAATTTTATTTAAAGCTAAGTTGGTCTAAAAAGAATATAAACAGATCCAAATTCTGATATCGGATTCCAGCTTAGGCGTATCCAGGATTTTTCTGGGGAAGGGGTGGGGAACTATTAGGTGGGGTTATTCCCAATATAAGTTTTAAGCTTTATTTAAAGTCATTAGGTCCCTCTTATTGTAGGACTTCACCTATATTTAAATAAAAATAAATTTTGTTTCATCTCATGATATAATCCATAACTTTTTGGGGGTGTAGGAGGAAATTTTTTATTAGTCTGAAAAATATGTTTGAAAACAGGCAAGTTTGCGATAGGGAAAAAAGCCCTCCCCCCTCCCCCTCCCCTTGATTACGCGTCTGGATTCCAAACGGTTTGCGTTGAGCTCCATGGCTGCTCAAAATCTAAAATTCTTTAAAAAAATCGATATGATGTACTATTTTATTCTTCACTTCAAAATTTAAAAAATCTTTGAAGGTGCTATTTGAAATTTTAAGAAGACTTGAGCCCCTTAAAATTCAATATTTAGTATAATTTAACAAAAATTTATATTTTAAATAGTTTCCGTTATTTTTAGACCTCTTAGATTTCTGATTCCCGTGACAGGGTGAGTTTTTATAAAACTGGTCTTCGATTATTTATTAAATAATATATAAGTGACGCACCTTGAGTTGATCACAATTCAATGTAAAAATTTATTACTCATCGTGACATTTAGATGAATTTAAAAATAAATACATTAATTTCTTCACTATAAAAAAGCAAATGAGTCAAAACAAAACTCAAAACTTTATATAAATTTAAAATATCTACAGTGAAGTTGGAATCTTTATAAGTGGTTACCTTTTTTGGTCAACATAAAAAGAAATAAAAGTTTTATTTTGGCGATGGATAAACCCTAGTTGTGATTAAGATAAGAAGATGATTACCTCTTGGAAATTTTCATAGAATCTTAATTGCACAAGTAATTAGAGATTGTAGAATATGAACTAAAATAGTGCATATAGTTCCGACTCTTAAAAATTTGAAAGGGGCCAGTTCTTCGATTTGACGTGGTTCCAGATTCTGCCAGATTCCTACATATTTATAATTTGGGATCGGTTTATGGAAATTATAAAAAGGAAGGGGGGGGGGTGGTACTGGTTCCATTTTTCGGTTTTAATAGATTTCACAAAATAGGAGTTATAGGTTTTGGTACGCATATTTATGCCGATTCCATGAACTTGATGACTTGAAAATAAATTGATGAAATGTATTTGCTTATAGAAAACTTGTTTTCCTTAAATTCATATATTAATATTTAGGACGTTTTTAATATATTTTTTAAAAAGATACATTTTTTAGTATAACCCTGAATTTTTGTTTATTATTGTACATTTTGAATTTAACTATTTTTTATCCTGTTAAGAAAACTGCTGTAGGCAAAAGAGATCAATTAAATCTTGCTCTCAGTGATTAGATGAATTTTTTTAGCCATCTCCCAAACTATAATTTATGGGGAAATGAGAATTTTTGGCTTGGGTGATCCTTTAAATATGATTCGTGCAAATAAAACAAAATCTAATTTTTTTTCCACCACAATATCCTAGTTCAAACAATAACCAGGTTACACACTTGCGTTGTAAGTGTATGAATAAAAATATTGTAACAATTTCAATTTTTTTTTTATAAAAATCGATTTTATGTACTTATTTTTTAAAAAGAAACTGGTTTTTTAAAAAAATAAATGAGGATTTTGGGGATTGATGGTTTTATTTGTTTCCTTTTTTTTCTTCCTCGTAATAAATTTTAATGTTTTTTTAGTAGTACTAGTTAATCTTTGTTCCTTAATTGCACAATGCATTTAAATTTATTGTATAATTTTTAATTTCCTATGAATGCGCAATGGTGGTGTTTTTATATATTTTTATTTATAATTGGATTAATTATTAATATTATATAACAAGAATACCATCTAACTTGGTGTGGGGTTTTTTTTTATTATAAAATAAAAATGTTCAAGATTTTTTTTATTACAATTTAATATGTATGACAATTAAATTTCATGAAAATTTCATTATTTTTTATTATTATTACATATAAAGAACTAAGAAGGAAATTTAAAAAAAATTTTGATCTAATAAAATGAGTAAAAAAATTAACAAATGTTTAGTTGGACATTTTGAGACCATAAACCATTTATGGGCAACCCATAGATCCCGGAATAATATGGGCTCGGGGTGGATTTAGACTCCCTCTAGAAAATCGGCTTTTATTAAGTTCCTCTTATTAAAATTTCCGCGAAATAGTTAAAAATTTCTGAACCCTAATTGGGGTTTAAGGTTGTTAAACGACTCAAATTGAGCCGATTTTTTAAAACGGTTAACTCAATATTTTAGCCAGAAAAATATTGCCTAAGCATCGAGATTTCGCTAGTAGATGTTTAAATCTTTGTGCCATCTATGAGCAAAATTTTTAGGCTTGCGCAATATTTTTTTGGATAAAATTGCAGTTAGCCGTTGCTAAAAATCGGCTCAAATCGAGCCGTTTAACACATTCGGGTTCACAGCTATGATTAGGGATCACTTTAATTTTATACATAGTGATAGGTTGGATTGGCCATATAATATTTTGACTCAAATTTTTATTTTACCTTATGACTATTAAATCCTGCTCAATTACTTAACATTTTCGTAATTCATTAACCCGTTTATAACAAAAAAATATGGCGTTTGAGTTTGCTATCGTAAAACTAAAAATTTTTAGATCAGAAATAAAAAATTTTACTCCATTTTGAATCTGATTATATGCCCTGTAAACAGGGAAGCTACTTAATTTCTCTACCTTTGGTCCGGGCCTTAAAATTTATTTTTATATTACTATTTTAATCATTTAACAATTCATAATATTTTTAAATAAATGAAATATTTAAAATTTTAATCATGTAATTAAAAATTCAACGTTTTTTTTAGCCCATTAAATTTTATAGACGATTTTTTTATATTCCAAATAGTTAAAAATAATAATATTTTATTGTAATATTGAATAATGAAAAAGAAATAGAAATAGAAATATAACGAGGAGTTGTTAAGTTTTATTAAATCTTAATTTGTTTATTTTTGAGTTTTGACTTTTGAAAAAAAAATAAGTCATTCAAATAGGAAAATTTTTATTTGCCTTTTTAACCTTAAGTTTTTTATTTAATAAATTTAGTTTTTATAGAATTTATAGAAGAGTGCCAGACTTAAAGGTTGATTTTAATTATCTGACAAAAGAAAATAGCTATAAAATGTATATTATTATAAGCTATTAAAGTAAAACTTTTTTTAATAAAAAGAAATTCCTAAACATTTCCACCCTCACCCCACAAATGATATATAATATTACGTAAGCTTGACGATTGGTATATGTGTATCATTAATACAAACTGGTGACCTATCATTCTGGTTTCCAATATTTTTTTACATCAAGGTTTTATGAAAACTTTATTTAGCTATGTCTAAAATCTTTTTTATAAAATTCGAAAAGTTTTTTTTTTTTAAACTAAAAATTTTAATGAAATCATATGTTAATTTTATAAATTTTCTAGAATTATGTTTTGGGCACCGTTTTATTTTTATCAACCATGCACTGCCCGGTCTTTTTTTAAATATATTACATTGTTAATTTTTACAGCTAATAATGGCGATTTAAAATATTCGGTTTTTAAATAACCGGCCCTGTTATTTTTAAAAAAAAACTTTAGGCCTGGTTATTTGAATAAGTCTTTAGGCCCGACCCGTAATACGGCCCGGCCAGTAACCCGGGCTTAGAGCCAGTTCAAGTCTCTGATTTTTATATTTACAATAACTTATTATTTTACAATAAAGTTTCTAAACTTTGTGAATTATATTTCCTGATTTTTTGAACACATCCTTATACATTTTGTATGGGAAACAAAAATGGTGTGCCACCAGCTGATTTTTATTCAAAGATGCTTCAAAATGCACCTAAATAAACGTCAATCTAGATAAGTATTTTTTATGTCATTATCCCAAACTTCAACCCCAAATTATATGTAAATAATCCTTAATTAATATTCAATAAAATTGCAAAAATATAATTTGAAAACAGCTAGGTCAAGTCCCCCCCCCTCATTCTCTTATTTTCAAACACAGCCTGGATTTTTAAAATTTTAATAAATTAGCTATACTATTCTGTGAAAGATTTTTTGCAAAGGGAAATTGAAAATAAGAGTAATGAATGAATCATCATGTGCTTTTGAAGATTAAGTGTGACCTGTTTACGGGAGTCTGCATGTCTTTAAATTTACAGGGATGAGATGTTCATCAAGCCTAAATTTAAGAGATGATCAAATAAAATATATAATTAACTTTTATAATAGCCATTTTTCGCAATTATTTTAAAATGATAATAAATAATAGATTGTGTTTTTTTTAAATTTTTTAAGGTCGTCTGCCAATGACCTAAAACTTAGATTAAGTTTTAAAAATAATATTTTCGCAACTATAAACTTATATAATACAATACATAACTGTAAATCAATAATTTTCACCTGGGAATAAGGTGTTATTTATGAAGTAGTGTTGTTAAACGTCTAATTCAATCTCTTCGCCAGAAAAATATTGCCTTAACCCCGAGATTTCGCTAATAGATGTCCTAACCTTTGTGCATCTATGAGCAAAATCTTTAGGCTTGCATAACATTAAATTATCCGTTTTAAAAATCGGCTTTAACGAGCCGTTTAACAACATTACCCTACCTTCCATACTGGTTGAAAGAGTTTTTTATGTTGTTAAAAGTTCATACCGAGATGACTAAATGTAGTGTTGCTCAATCGGATAATTTTAACCTACTAAGCCCAGTTTTTAGGTTAAGCCTACCCTTAAATTATATTTATATTTAGTAAAAAATTTTATATATAATTATTTTCTTTGCTGACGGACGATTG